AAATAACGTACATGTACATATTATTAATAAATTTATTCTTTTGCTGCCCGTAGCAGTAATCGGAATAAAATATGGCATTTAGTTTTAAATATTCTAGACTTTTTTAATATTCTAAAACACAGATACCTATTTCTATAGCTCCCCTGTTTGCTCCTCCTTCATGCCACACGTAGCAGTGCCCTTTTATATTATTCATTTCATAAATTGTAAAGGTTATTCACTTTTGATCTACGATACTATCATCGGATGAAAAATCTTCTTATTGTTTATCTTCTTCACTTTCAGCATTCATATTGGTCAATTCAATAGCTTTTGGTTCACTTTCTATTTGTAAATTACTATCTACTTCAGTCTCATCATTTACTGACTCTATACTTAACTTATTTTCTTTGGTTTAATTTTCTAAGCTCAGGCCGTGGATTTCTTTATTTAAACTTATTATTTTATCGAGTTCTTTATTACAGTCTTCTTTTTCTCTATTTTTGGAATCGCTTGAATTACATTTTGTACAGGAAGATGAGCTAGAAGACAATGATGATGATGAAGACGATGTAGACGGTGATCTTGGTCGCAATCAACTTATTTTCTTCCGAATTATTGCCTGAAATCCAATAAGCATTTATTTATTTACATAATAAATACCATAAGACACAGTATTGTGCATGCAATTCACAGCTATCTCATAGAGAAACAAGTTGTTGTGGAATAGGTACACTCACATTTTTGTAATTCCCGGGAATCGAAACCAGAAGATTACAAACAGCCACTAGTGAGTGTAGTTCACATTTACACTTTGCAACAGGACAAACTACTCATCTAAATAAAATTTATCGAAAAAAATCAATGGATTGGACACAGAAATATTTTCTTTAACTTACCTGATGTGCTATTATTATTTACCGTCTTCTATATTTTCATCATCATATTTATCATATTTAGTCTAGAATACAGGCGTAAATAAATATAATACATAAAATGATACCTTTATCAAAAACAACGACTAATCACTAAACAGTAAACATGTCACTATTCTTGAATTTTTTTTTCACAATATTGCAACCAAACTCTAAATATGTCAGTATTTAAGAGAATCGACCGTGCGTTGTAGGCGACTCAATTGAGAAGAGTCTTTATTTAAGGTTTACGCTAGAGTGTTTTGTCTCAAACGAAAATGACGGTGCCTCTTTCTAACGAACATTGGCGCGAAATTCGTATTGTGTCTCTGTTCACGTTAAAATATCAAATATTTATAATTTGACAGAATTTTGAACTGCGTCGTTATTCTCGCAAACCAGCGAGGTCAAATACATAACCCTTCTTTGTGTTTTATCACAGCCGATTAAAAAGCTATTACTTTAAGATGTATATAAAGATAGGTTGTAATTAACTTACTTGACATTTAAAAAGTTTCTTGTAAATATTATAAGATCTTAAAATTATTTTATAAATGTCCATTAATTTCATTAACTCGGATCTGCTCATATTTTTTCCATCTATCAATAAAAAAAATTACGTATTACTTTGAAATTTTTAAATACATTATGTTAAACTATTGTACATATTTTGTTGTCAACCATTCTGTTACCTAAAATGCGAATACGGCGCTCAAAATTAAACTCTGAACCAACTTTTTCCATAGCCGAACTTCTGACAGCTTTAGTCAATTCGCAAATCCATAATTTTAACTGATGATTAATTATCGCATTGATACGACTTGCATATATTACATTCATGTCAAAATGGGAGGTAAGAATCCACAAGATATAGTCATAGTGTTCTATTGTGTTTAATAGCTTACACATAATAATAACTAGCATATTGTATAGTATAATTATAAGCACACAAAACCATGAAAATATATTAAACATTTCAAACTGTTTATAATGCTTAAATTTAATTAATCTGAAGATTCTTTGAATGTTCAATACTAACTCCACATTATATTTACGAAAGATAATATTCGAAACAAAACTCAAGACGAAACCGAACCAATAAAAAATAAGATCATATGTCATTACGAAAGGAAAAAACCAGTATTCTTTTAACAGATAAAAGTCTATGAACATGGAAAGTCGAAAGCAAAGAAATATAAGTGACACAATCACAATCGTTGACGATAGGGCTTCAGTTTTTGAGCTATTGAAGGTGATAAAATTTTTATAAATACTATACTTTGGAAGAAAAAATAGCCACTGTGTCATGTTTAAAGGAAATAGCATCATTTGAACTTCACGATCTAAAAAGTTATCGAATAATATTTCATTACGACTGTGTGGCATTATTTCACTACTTTTAAACACGTTATTGCCAACTGCAGCGTAAAAAAATTGGAAACAAAGTGTTTCCTTTCTTATTTTTTATAATAATTTGGTATTAATGATACGAAATTCTATGTTTTTTTAATATATTGTATCAGATAAGATCTGGTCATAAAATTAATGAAAAAAATTATGTAAATAAATCTATACATATAATAAAATTCTAACTAAGGCGAATCTGTACATTAAATATTTTTTGGAAAATCTTATTGAAATAGAAATTATTATCGATAAAGAGGCCAAATCTATTGTTTTTAGAATTTTTATCTGTCTGCCTGTTACCGCATCACGGAAAAACCACTGGAGGGATTTTGATGAAATTTGGTATGGTGATAGTTGGTTAACCGGGTCAACATATAGAATACTTTTTACCGCAGGAAAATGTCTCATTTCTGAGAAAAAATACAAAAACTGCAATGTAAGAGTATACTTACATGAAAAACCTAAGAAATTGATTTTTGGTCATATGAAAGCGGGTGGAGCCGCGGGCAATGCTAGTTAACAATAAAGTCTTATCTTATCAAATAATACAAAGTGTTATATTAGGGCTGATAGCTCTTTATTGCTTAATTTTCTTTTTCATTTATTAAATTGGAACACAATAAAGTAATGAAGCTAGGTTACGTTAATATAGTTTCAGCTAAATATTTAATCAGATATTTACTTTATATGTAGCAATAGTTATCGTGGATTCAAAGAAATAAGTATAGCTAAACTTAGCGGGATAAAAACTCAGTGGGTTATTTAGGGGTGATAGCTAGAGCGGGGAAGGAGTACAAAAGTTAGGGTTGAAGAGGTATCAAGACTAAACAAAACTAACTACCGCGTTCCATGATGTGGTAGTTTAGTGAATTTAAGATCTAATAAAAAGTATAATGGCTTAATAAAATAAAGGCTAATAAAATATTTCGCAGGACTTAAGTTATCTAGAAATATAGCTATAATGACTTACCAACAAAGCGATCGAATACTCGTCGATATCTAATCGATAGTGCCGACGAATAGGTAAATGAAGGTCGATACATGTCCTGTAGGCCATTGGTAGGAGAAGACTTAATTTTTGTCATTATATTGTATTTTGTTTAATTTTCCTAAAGCTACGTACGTTATTTAAGAAGTTTAAAATAGCTCGTAGTCTATATGGCGCAAATTACAGAATTGTACAGTAGTTTTAGGGCAGTGGTAGCCTAGTGGTGACGCGCTCGCATGGGTAACCGAGTGAAGCGGGTTCAAATCCCGGGTCTCGCACCTCTGATATTTTCATGTGCGAATCATTTTCAACATGATTACCACTTGCCTTACGGTGAAGGAAAACATCGTGAGGAAACCTGCATGTCTGAGAGAACCTAGCAAGCTTTCGAAAGACATGTGAAGTCTGCCAACCCGCACTTGGCCAGCGTGGTGGACTATGGCCTGATCCCCCTCATATTGAAGGGAGGCCCGTGCTCAGCAGTGGGACGTTAAGAAGGGCTGAATACATACAGTAGTTTTTGAGTACATATAAGTGCATCCCACCATAAACCAGACTCAGTTCGAAGAACATTGATACTCGTATATTGATATATTGATATGCCTTTTTCGTATTTTCTGCGAATATGCTCTGCGTAGATAATTTTAAATTTTGTGTTATCATCCAGATTCATATTTTTATCCTTATAACAAAATAAAAATTTAGAACGGATCTTTTTTTATAAACACGACAACCTGACATTTAATAACTAGTAGGTATTTATGTTTAATTTACTATTAAATTCGAAAGCTAAAGTTATTACTTATAATAATATGTGATCATATTTTTAAAATTTAAACATTAAGCATACATTAAAACACAAATTGTAATACATTAATTTATTACATAGCTTCATAAAACTTAAATTTATTTGAATATTTATACTTCCTTCTCACCTTCTACATCTCATCATTGGGCTTTATTTACATTAATACCATCGTTTTTTATTTTCACCGGCAATCAATTTAATTTGATATGTTTGTAATTACACTTTAGAATACCTACTGTGTAATTATGTATCTATCTTTTATCTATGCGTTGTGTAACTACAAAAACAATGAAAAAGGTTTTAAATTTATTGTTTAGTATAGATATCTCAGAAATGAGATATTTTTCCGCAGTAAAAAGTATCCTATATGTTGACCCGGATAACCAGCTCTCATCATATCAAATTTCACAAAAAATTGTTCAATGGTTTTCTCGTGATGCGTTGAGATATATATATATATATATATATATATATATATATATATATATATATATATATATATATATATATATATATATATATATATATATATATATATATTGAAAATTGTTTGTGTATATATACATATATATATACACAACAGACACGATAGACAGACAAAAATTCAAAAAAACTATAGATTCGACCTCTGTATCCATGATAATCACTATTGCAATTAAATTTTCCAAAAAATGTACAGACTAGACTCAGAATTTTATTATATGTTCAGGTGGCGCATAATTAATAATTCTATCTATCTATATAAGATGTTATAATTTTTGCAAATGGCGTCGTACATTAATAGTAATCAAACAGACAAGCAGTGGAGCGCTATACTCCGCAAGAGCGTGGAATAATTGAGTTGATTTTTTCGGCCAATAATCGGTCGGTGGTGTTGGCGCAGTGTGAATTTCGACGTCGATTACCTAATCGTGTCGCGCCAACTGGCTAAACATTCCGGCGCTTTTCTACTCGACTCGAACAGATTCCCTTGCAGGGCCTGGCCGCCACCGGACTGATCGTTCGGCCGAGTATATCGCGGCCGTTGCTGCCGATGTCGCTGAGAATGAAGAAATATCAACCAGACGACGAGCCACCTAAGCCACGCTGATTCTGCACACATTGCTCTGTCTGTCTGTTCTGTCCATATTTTAATAAAATTTAGGGTTTTTAAGATTATACATAAAATATATACAAAAAGGCGGTAACTGATCATAATCAAGCAGATTGTATGTTTGTTTGCTACCATTATTTTATAGCACTAGCTGCCTCGTACGTCTAGTATGATGTCTGATATAGATGTAGACGTGCTTGGTTGAGGTTCCAAGTTATTGGGTTTTTTAGGCAAGTATTTCTCAGTAAAAGTTTCGAAGTTGAGAAAATTGCAATAAATTCGTCGGTTCTGCGTATCTCGAATTATCGTCCCATTAGACTTTGAGAGTGAAGAAACAGAGAATAAAAAAAGACCTTATTTATTAACATATGCATTTATGTTTGCCCAAAAATTATGAACTAATATCTCCACTATGACGACTTCCTGCCACAATTGGTCAGGAAGACATTATAATATAAAAACAGCTCCATTTCATACACCCATGTTTAAATTAAAAAATATGAATTTATTTTCATAATATTTCAGTGTCAGTTATTACAATTTCCTTATTACCTAGATGTTTATATATATCATCTAACGTCTTCCCTTTTGTTTCAGGTATGATAATAACAACATATACTGCCATTAATATGCATACAATACCAAAAAAATAAAAGGCTATGTATATTCCAAGTGCATTGACTAAAGGTTTAAAAAATAACAATTGTAAAAAGTCTGCGAATGATGCTGCTGACGTAGTGACGGCCATTACCGTGCCGCGGTACTGTAAAGAACATTTTTAATTTTATTAAACATAAAATTGTTTGTGTTTGGTTTATAACTAAATGCCTCAATAACAAGCAATTTATTATAATTATATGTAGGTACATATTATACATATGTATGTACCTATTTATTTGACACATTCATACCAAAATTACTCAACGTTATGGTATTTTAAGCTAATTTTTTCATGTTTTTCTATATTACCGTTTTCTTATTTTTGGATTTTACCTTAATAAAGAACTTAAATAAGTTAATTATAATTATTTACCTCAATATGTGCACACTCTCTGTACTTAACATAAAATCTCTCTTGAATTACTATAATTTATAGCTGAAACACTAACCTTGAAAGAAAATATTTCGCTAGCAATAACAATAGATATAGGCTGCAGTCCTGAGGAATCGCAAAAAATGCACAGGCAAAGAGTCATTATTGGAATCCAGTTAAGTGAGTTCGCACCATACTCTCTTGTCACAAACCATGACGCTAAAGCTATCATACTCAATCCTGATAAAAGTGATGTTATTGCAAGTAGTGGCTGTAAATAATACAAAATACATTTAAACTCACTTTGAGATGTATGTTTTTGCTATTAATACTAATAATTATACGTTTAATAAACTCATCAAATATTAAAATGGATCTCAATCGATTAAGTCCTTTTGTAACACGTCTTTCTTTTTCACTTTAACACTGTTATATTAGAGATCAATTTTAATCTACATCTAATTGTTGTATCGCTTTGTATTTCTATATTTATGTGAAATCCGGACAACAATACCAAAATTCGAAATCACAGAGCTGGGCTGGGATAGAAATGAAATAAAGCTATAGGTATTTTTCTAATTCTTATTATTGCTTATTAAAAGTATTTTCCAAAAATTGTAGATTTAGTTTGTAACATATTCCAAAACAAATCCTTCATATACAACATTTAAATATATTAAATGAACTATATTAAGCCTATTACAATTTTGTTTAGTAAAAAATTATATAGGTATCTTTCGTAAGGCTAAAAAATTATTACCTTCCTTCCAGTTTTTTCCACGACGGTTGATGCGAGCATCGAACCTGAGACTTGCACCGCCCCTAACAACATGGCCTGTTGGTTCGGAGTCAATACAAAATCAGATTTGTCTGAAGCAAATGCAAATATTTCTCCTGCAAAATTGAGAACTGGTATGGCGCCACATACTTCTCGAGCCAAAGTCACTACCATTGCAATACAAAATGCTTTGAAAAGAATAGTATCCTTTACTGAAAATAAAAATGTTATATTGAAAGGAATAGAGAGTGTAGTAAATGCACATAGGCTTTCACTATAATTTAACTTTTCAGAAATCTTTCAGAAAAGAAACTGTTCCAAATCAGTTCAGGCGTCTACGAGTAAGTACATAAAAAAAGATTCCAACTAATTGAGAACCTCCTCCTTTTTGGAAGTCAGTTAAAAATGAAATTTCAAACCGACTATTTTCTGACTGATACATAACAAGTAAATATTATACTTATGTAAGTCAAAACATCCCTAAAATGTCACTTCATACAACCTTTCGCTCCTGAAATTATTTTTTTATATTAAAAAATATAAGGAAATCATACTTTTTACTTACGTATTGATTTAATTATAAAACAACTGTTTGTTTTTGTCTTATCGTCGTGTCTTTGCTCTCTTTTCATCAGATCTAGTTCAGCTTTAACTAAAGTATCATCTTCTTTTCTGCATCGTAACCAAGCTAAAACTCTTGTAGCTTCCTATAGAAAATGCAAAATAAGTATTCTTGTATATAACATATGCATATATTATTAAATTCATTAAAAATAGGTTTAATAGTTACACTAACCTCTACATTATTTTTTTTAAGTAAAAATGAAGGCGATTCAGGCATCATCATAAAAAGAACTAGATGAAAGGTAGGCAATGATAAACAAATCCATAGAACTGTACGGTATTGAAGGATGTCTCCTATTATATAAAGAAATAAATTACCTGTTGTTTGAAATAAAATCATCTGAAATCACAAAAATTTCTAATTTGTTTAAGTGGCGAAAGCAAATCAGGTCATTTTGATAATTATTAATCAATGAGTTCACTTATATAGTTAATAGTACTAATCGTAAGAACAGTCTTATTAGAATATTATTTAATACAACAATAGATTTTTGCGAAACTGGAGGTTTATTGTGCGAAAGTTTAAGGTTTAAGCTATTCGACAACTGAATCCATGAACATACTTCATAGAGGTGTATGAAATATAAACGCGAATTCCGCTATCATATGACATAAAAGTTATTACAGAATAGACCTTCAGAAGGCCACATAACTATTCTTGGATTATATAAATATTCCCGGATGTATTCGTATGTATGTATGTATTCAAACCTATTGAACGTCCCACTGCTGGGCACGGGCCTCCCTTCAATACGAGGGGGATCAGGCCATAGTCCACCACGCTGGCCAAGTGCAGATTGGCGGACATTACATGTCTTTCGAAAACTTGCTAGGTTTTCTCGGACATGCAGGTTTCCTCACGATGTTTTCCTTCACCGTATGGCAATTTCTGGATAATTTAATTCACTATTATCGTTATCAAAGAATCATAACATGTCATTCTCATATATTATTTTTGATTATTATCATAGACGATTGTAAATTATCATCTTGTTAATTATTATTTTAGCAAATTTTATAAATATTTTTATAAACTGCAATTTGTTTTCTATTTCACAATAGGTTGGTTTCAAGCATTTTCTTTTTCGCATTTGGTCAATAATTTAATATAAATTAATACACTATTAGGTATCAAAACATTTCTTTACAATTTTAACTGAATATACTTACTATGCAACCAAGCGCCCCTCGAATACTATCTTGGCTCATTTCCTTAGTGTAAATAGGGCAAATTACGTAGCAACCTGCCATTGTGAGGCCGACCAGAGCTCGAGCTAATATCAAAGCCCAAACCTCTAGTGACGATAATAGAAGAACCCAGCTGGCCTATAAAAGATGTTTCATATCACTCTAACTGAAACACTTGCACAGGCATGCAGACAAACCTTTTAAAATTATTTAATTATAAAAATACTTTTTAACGCATACTTTTTGCCTTCTTATGATTGCACTAAAGATATCTAATTAACATTTTTAAGAGGTGGTCTTATATGTTGTTAGTGTTAAATTATCAGAAAATATAATTATTAGTATGGCGATATAGAAGCGTGTAAATCAATCGTTTGTAATAAAATTGTAATATAAGTGTAATAATGAGATTTATCAAACTTGAACGTGTAATAGAAAAGTGTGTAGGTTTATGCTAGGCCTAAGGGCTTCGGCGATAAGACACACTGGGAGGAGGCCCACTTTGGTGGGCGATATACCATGCGGGTTGCTCCTGGTACTTTTCTGACAGCAGAATGGACCGTTGGAGGAACCCCTTGGTAGTGTGGTCTTCTTCGGCAGATCTACCGAAGGAGACCACCAGAGGAAATTGCTGAATTAACTTTACTAAATTTGGATACTAAGACAACTATAACTTTAAGTTTATATTGTTCCCTATATACGAGCGAAAATGTTTTAACTATCGAAATCTTGATATCTTTAGTAAGTGATGACCGATTCTAATTCTTTAATATGTTTTGCCATTTAACATCTGAATAAAAATGAAAAGAACTCTTAAAACATATTCTATTAAAGAAAGTATACAAATTTACTTTAAATTGCTTAAGTTACTTACAGCCCCAAAAGATGAAATAAAAAGCAGCGCTATTTTACGTCCAAGTGTATCAACTAAAAATGCCATAAGTGCATTTCCAGGTATACAAGTTATGTATGCGACTGCAGCCAGCCAAGATACCTGCAATTTTAAAGAGAAAATTATAATAAACTTTATATATTTTCCAGCTTTAAAATGAAACTAACATATTAATAATAGACTCAAAGTATATCATGTTTAAAACTAAATTATTTAGTATATCAGCACTTTCCCTTGTAGGCTATACAAAGGATAACCTTCTTTTTTAGCTTTGATAGAGATATTTATTGTTGACGTACGATGCAGCTTATGATAATAATGAGGTCAATCCAAACAGTTATTTTTGGGCAGAAATCGAATCCGCGGTCTTCAGCAAAATGCTACTGCTGGTTAGACATCTTCCTTATTGCACAATAATCTTTCTTTCTATTCATCATTTTGATTGTGTGTTTGATTTTTATTATTACCTCAGTATCTGTTAAAGGTACTCCTTTGGGGGAGTTTTCTGATTGTAATAAAAGTATCATTGGTGACATCCAACCAATGCTCGCACCATACACAAATACCGGAAAGTTTACTGAAAGAAGATATATGTGTGATATTAAAACATGTGGTCATCTCATTTAGGCATAGAAAAAATGTAAATTCAATTTTAATTTAGGTATAAGCTAGTCCTTAAGATCACGAACTTCATACATAAGGGCAGGGTTCCAGTTTGGGAAAATTTTACCTTCACCACATTATCATTTTGTCAAAATGTGTTCCACATCTGATAGACTTACTGATTGTTAGAATGAAAAAGTATAACGGTATCAGGTTAAATAAGGTTACCCTTAGTGGTTTTAATATTAGGCAGCACACACAAATATTATTACGAATAAACACGATTAGAAATAAATATCTTACAAGGTACAAGGCTTGCTCGTGCTCTATCGAGTTCTATCCACTATCTCGCACGTACCTTTTCCTTATTCCAACAATTATTACTTTTACACAATATAGGCAGGCAATAAAGGTAATTTTGCCAAAATATTATTCCCAGACATTTTTACTGTAACATCTGCATTTTATGTTTTTTGTTTTGTAATTTAAAAAAAAAACATAAATTGCCACAGGTATTTTAATATATAAATTGCATGCTTTTGTATTAGATATATATTTTTCTTTTTTTAAAGACTATTTAGGTATTATATATGTGAACTGTTTCGATGCTCTAGTGGCTGGCATGTATCCAAAGATCCTGAATTCGAGTCCCGAGTACGGACCCTGTTCAGTTTTTAGGTTTTTTTGTTATAAAATTCTCAATAATAGCCCGGAGTTGGGAAGTTGTATTCGTAATTCATCCCTATTTGGAGAGAACGTAGAGCCGTCGGTCTTTTGTCTAATCTCTCACCGATTATGCCGAATTATCATCCCATCGGAGTTTGAGAGTAGAAGGGATAGGAAGTGCACTATTGTTCGCGCACCGTCCGCGTAGGTATTATATTAAATACTTACTTAAAATAGCACATATTATCTGATTTATCTTACTTCCTTCATTAAATATTTTATAAAATTTCTTCATTTCACTGTTGTTCTATGAACATGAAACTTTTAAAATATATTATACGTAATTATTCAACTTATGAAGAAATACATATTATAAAACTATGTCACACTGAAGTCTTTAAGTGTGAATTGAACGTTTTGATATAAGTAATAACGATCAATTCCTTCTAAAGCAGAGCGCAGACTGTGAACAAGATCTACACAAATAATAACTAGAGTAAATGACACAAGCCGAAATAACATTTTTATTTAATTTTACATATTTTTTGTATAAATTCTAAAAGTTTTATATCAAAATGAATACTAGTACACATGCATACACAGCATTTAAATTGTATTCAGCCCTTTTTAACGTCCCACTTCAGAGCACGGGTTCCTTCAATACGAGAAGGATCAGGCCATAGTCTACCATGCTAAGTGCGGGTTGGCGCACTTCACATGTTTGTTGAAAACTTGCTAGGTTTTCTCAGACATGCAGTTTTTTTACGATGCTTACATTCACCATAAGATAAGTGGTAATCATGTTGTTCCCAACAAAAGATTCGCTCATTAAAATATCAGAGAGACCTGGGATTTGAATCCGAATCACTCGGTTTCTAAAGCGAGCGAACGAGAGCGCTACCACTGGGCTACACTGCCTACAAGTCTATTAGTAGTACATAAATAAGTGTAACCTTGCAAAATCGCTTGTAGAAGCTTTAAGCGGGTACTATACATAGACTCCCGGGGGAGAAGCCAACTCCTACCGGGCGCGTCCCCAGGTGGCGGATAGGGGAATGCCACCCGCTTAGGGCGGCGGGTGGTACCGGAGAAATCCGGCGCGGACCAAATGGCTTGGATGGGGCCGCTCGTCTAGGCCTCGAGCCGAAGACGTTGCGGCCACCGGTGGTGGGACCACTTGGTCCCATAACCGGATGATGGGTGCCGGTTGCGGGACTGTGGTCGCAGGCCCGCATCCGGCGGAGGGGTAGGCCGCGGCGGGAGAGGAGTGCCGGTATTTCGGTGCGCCGTTCTCCCTACCTTCCGCGGCCTAGACGGGGCCGCCACCGTTTGATGGCGGACGCGGTGGGGCTGCAGGGGAAGAGGAGTGTCGGTGTTTCGTTGCCGCTCTCCCTGTCCTCTGCAGCCGATTGGAGGTGGCCCACTTCGGTGGGCGGAGGATCGGTTTTATGGAGCTGCTCCGGGTACCTCTCTGGTGTAGCAGAGTTGACTGTGGAGCAGCCCCATCGGTGTGGTGGTCAGCCGTCAGCCGTTGGCAGACCTGCAGTTATGCGCAAGCGATCCTGCGGCGTCCCATTAAGGCGGAGGGGAGGGGAATGTCGGGTTTTAGTGGGTAGTACCGGCTCTTCTAACCGGTGAGCCCCACATCACCACCTGGGGGATCAGGTGGTATGCGTAAATGCATTTCCCGATATAAAAAAAAAAAAAAAAAAAATACATACATACATAGACTAAGTTGAGATATAAACTATATATCAGTCATTTGATTATTGCACACTTTGCTTGGGTAAGGATTAACGAGACGAATGTTACATGCGTTCTGTAGTTTCTTACAACAGTATCATGCGTGCTTGCGTGCGTGCGTGCGTGCGTGCGTGCGTGCAGGCGTCTGTGCGTGTGTGTGTGTGTGTGTCTGTGCTTTGTTTCCGTCTGTGTATGCGTGCTTGCCTGTGTGATTAGCAATATTGATGGGTAAAGCTATTAGATAAAAGAAAAGATATAAGCAAAATTTTCTACAAATGTATACTCGACTTTATAGCTGACGAATAACATATGCGTCTTGTTGATTTCAACCAATTGATATTAATTGGTAAGTACAATCGTTTCATTGATCGCAATTATGAAACATGTAAAAATTTTTAAAGGTATATAAAATTTTCATTGAAATTGTTATTTATTGTAAAAAATGCTATAATAAGACTTCTTCAAGTCTTCAAGTATGTTCTGTTTCAGTCAGTAAATTTACCAATACAAACAATTTTTTTTTAATTTTTGTTAAAAGTACTGCAGACTTCCACTAGAATCCACTTAATAAATCTAACGTTTTAAGTTTAGGACATTATCGTGTAGTGTATCAACTATCTGGATTCCATAACACAAGCCTCGTAGCTTACCATGGAACTAGATGGTGCTGAGTGTTAATATCCCAACATATTTATTTATTTATTTATTATTGTAAATGTTGATATAATTTATGATATTTAAAAGGAACAGAGAGAATATAATTTTTAAAAGGAATAAAAGAAGGCTTAAAATACATACTTCTTCTCCCTGCCCATTTCCCAATCACTTGGGGTCGGCGCAGTACATCTGTACTGCTGATGGTATTTGGCAAAAGTTTTACGACCGGCCGTATACGTACAGTATATAATATTATGATAAATTATAATCATTATTATTTTAATTCCTTTTTTAAATAACGATTTTATAAAATTTATGTTTCATCAAATAAAAATGAATAAGGTTAATATTTTATTAATTAAAACCCTTTAATCAAACACATTTAAAAGTTGCAAAAGGTCTAATGAGAGCGCCATCTGTGACACTTGAGTCGCAACTCTAACTGATTTGAACAGTCTCGTAGTTTCTGTCAGATTCACTCGCGTAATGTTTTATATTCCCTCAAAAAGACTCGGTATCTTTCATATAGATGGAGATTTAAAAACTTTTATTTATTAATGTAATAACGATAACATTGTATTTTCTTGTATAATTGAATAACAAAATTGATTATAGTAATAATATTATGTTACTGAACGACAAGAAAAAAATAACTGATTGTAAGGTTTTCAAAAAATATAAGTATTACTAGCAGCTCACCTTTGTTTTAGTATGGAATAGATAGGCAACATATATTATATTACTGCACCTCTCCCTTGAGTAGTAGCATAATGATATTATATAGCCTATTATAAGCCTTCCTCAATAAACGGGCTATAATAATTCAAAAATATTTTTTCAAAACGGATTAATAGTTCCTGAGATTAGCGCGTTCAAACAATCAAACAAACTCTGCCTCTCTCTCTCTCTCTATATATATATATATCTACGTGTATATATATATATATATATATATATATATATATATATATATATATATATAGTATAAATAAGTAGAAAACATGTATTATAGAAAAAATAAAGCGAAAACAAGCTTTCAAAGGTAATTTGACGCTTCTATATAATTATTCTTAATTTCTCTTTTACAGTATTTTTAACCAACTTCCAAAAAGGAGGAGGTTCTACTTTCGTCTGTATATCTTTTTTTAAGTGCATATGTTCACCAATTTTTCGGAGACGGCTTGACCGATTAGATTTGGCTGGCACGGTTGCTAAGATTTCTGATTAGGTATCTATAGTAAATGCAAACGCTCAATTATTTTTTACTTTTAAGTGTACAAAAAAAACTTAATAAACATATTATAACTAATATTTTACAATATATATAAGCTAATAACATCCTTAGAAACGTAGCCGTATAAAGTTATAACTATTATATCGCAAAGAGTAAGAAATATAAAATATACTAGCAGAACCCGCGGCTTTGCTTGCGCTAAAACTACAAAAAATCTCTTAAAAAATAGTTACATACAAACTTTCATCCTCTATTTTAAACCCTTATCGGATGAATTTTGAAAAATGCTAAAACACGTATTCATTTAATTTAATTGACGAGCATTAATACCAAGTTTCAAGAAATTCTGATCAAAAATATTTTTTGTATTGTATTATAAAGTGTTTTCCCTTAGAAAATAGGTAAACTCTCGCGGTAAAAAGTAGCCTATATCACTCTCCAGGCCTTTAACTATCTCCACACAAAAAAATCACTCTAATCCGTGACTCCGTTTCGACGTTAAAAAAGGAGAAACAAACAAACGAACAAACAAACAAACAAACAAACAAACAAACAAACATACTTTCACATTTATAATATTAAAGTATAAATTCTTACTCATATATTTATTATTTGCGCATTCGTATTGTTGTGATAAAAACTAAATAAATGAAATTAGTCTACTAGATATTCTAAAACAGGTTCTAGAATCTCAAAATTTTTCATACAATGATATGTAAAGGCAGTTACAACGAATCGCTTTCTTTTTACGTCCTAATGACGGATTTCCTCTGACGGTTGTACGTTTCGAATGATCTTCACAATCCCTTATCTTTTAGAGCATAACAGTTTATTTTTATTTCTGTTTATATCTTCTGTGTCATTTGATAAACATGACAATATTTTTTTTTATTTATTTGCGTGTATTGATTTATTTGTATGTTGTATTCAAATTTATTTAAAATGTAAGGTGGATTTTTTTCAAACTTAAACCGTTGAAATTGAATAAAAAATAAATATGAAAATCGATATCCCAGTAACAAAGATATCACTAAAACGCACAAAAAAGACATACATCCGAATTAAGTACATCCTCCTTATTTGAAGCCGGTAAATATATTTTCTTTATTTAAGCAAAAAGTTAATAATTTACGTTAACAATCTTTATTTAATTGATAGATAACTCGAACGAAGCCTCATAAAAAATCTAGAAAAAATCCACTTCATTGAAATGAAAAAACACTTTTAAAGATATTTTTAAAGCCTTAATGCATCATTATTTTAAAAAAAAAACATTATATTAATGAGCCTAGCAAAATGATATCAATTGGCTATGATATCATTTTGCTAGAGTGCATCCCTAGAGGCCTATGTGATCCAGGTCATAATCTATCTGTACGTTAAATCGTAGTAATAAATATTCTTTTATATACAAACTCTTGTTAAAGTTCCCGTATCTTCTATAATATAAAAATGAATCGCTGAATGTGTTGCTAAGCGCAAATCTTGAGAGCAGCTGAACCGATTTCGCTAATTCTTTTTTTAGAATGTTCCTTGAAGTACGCGGATGGTTCTTACGGAGAGAAAAATTTTAAAAATTGCCTGAAAAAGTCTAAAAACAACACTTTTCTATACTCCCATACAAAAGATTCGTAATAATACTTAAAAGCCAATTTGAACTT